AAAACTTTGACAATGAAAATTTCAAGAACGGATGCACCGTTAACTTGCTTCAGAAGAGGCACTGGCCCGAGATGTCCCTTCTTTTTGTGTTGTCCACTTCCTCCATTGGGTGAAAAGTTAAATTGTGTAGAAGTCCTGCGTCCAAAGCTGGTGTGCATGCAAGTGGGTATGTAGTGAGAGGTCAGTGGTAAATCAAAAATTTATCTAGGAAACAAAATGGACCAATTGCTGAGTTGCATGAAGAACTAACGGCCACAATTTCAACCACTCCAAAATTGCTTTTGAGTTTGAATCTTCTGGAATGCGATACTACAGGCGGTTGTTTGTTTGACAAGTCACTGTGCTCCTATCACAATTCGCATATGTCCCGAGGTTCGACGTTTCAGCGAACCAGCAGTGAGTTTTTCTCATTTTAATTATGCGCAACCACATAAACCACAATAAATAACTGCGCGTACAAAAAAAAAAATCATATTACAAATTGTTTTTAATGCAGACCAGGTGAAACCAACGTATGCTTATGAGGTTACTGTAATTCGCCACGAAGGCCTTTTGATTGTACTTTGCCAAAATGGCCTTTTGACTTACTACAAGAAATGACACTAAATTCTGACCAGTGGTTTACTGTTTTCAAAGCTGTATCTTTAATGTTTGTTTCTAAGTAACTGGGAGTGGAGATTATGATATAATGAAACTAAAAAAGCAAATTTTAAGCATTTTTATGCGTTTTTGCATATTTATATAATTGTAAATGCATACTGACGACCCACTGTGCGAGTGTGTTTGTGCTCGTCCGGTTATTCCGGCTGGGCAAGCAAACTTGGGTGCTGAAATTTTGTCAGCGTATTCCTCGGCTAAGTGCGACTCAGGAACACGACATCAAATTTCGAGTCTCGTCTACGGACAAGCCCGAGTCTTGCCTACGGATACATGAAAATTTTTGACAGAAAAATTGCTAACTTGGTAATTAGGAAGGCTAAAAAGCTGAAATCTTAAGAGGCGTTCTCTATCTGCGTGGGATCCAAAGATTTCAAATTCAACCCCTAAGTGGACCTGTTCCTGCACAGGCATATGAAAATATTAGCGGAAAATTTTCCACCTCGGATTTCGTCACCTTCCTCTCCCGACATCCTGTTCACTGTAAACTTTGCATTTTCAGTGAACGACCGGCCATCCGAAATCATCCACTTCCCCTCATTCAGAATTTACGATAATCATGCATGCTGAAGTTTAGGATTTT